AAGAACCCCAAGGACTCCACAATTCAACCCTGAGCTACACATATTCGCTTCTATTAGTCGCTCATGTCTTGGTCACTTCTGATCTAGATTACTGTAATGTGCTGTACATGGGGCTGCCATGAAGACCACTCAGAAGCTGCATTTGGTCCCAAATATATCAATGGGAGTAGTTATGGGAGTATCTCAGTGTTCCTATGTGGCACTGATGCTTCATGAGATGCATTGGTTACCAGTAAGCTTCCAGGTGCTATTCAAGTTTCTGATTGTTATCTGTAAAGCCCTTCATGGCACAGCGGATCACCTGCCTCTAATTAATCATTTCCATCCTATAAGATCTAACAGGATGAGCATGGTCCAGGGTCCCATTATGTAAGCAGTATCTTCTGGCGTGACCCAGGAGACATGCCTTCTCTGTTGCTGTACCTGCCTATGGAACAAAATTCCCCCCAAGATGGCCCCAACCCTGACTGCCTTTCTAAAGGCTCTGGGTCAGGAGATTTTATGCCCATCTTGATAGTTTGTTTCTGGTTGTTTGAAGTTGCCATTGGTGCAATATGTTTTATTATATTTAATGTTTTTATTACTTTTTGTTTTTAATTCCATACATTGCCCTGAGTCACTTGTCAATTGAGAGGCTATATACATTGATCTAATATCCCTTAATTTTTTAGAAGTAGAAGCTAAGATGAATCACTGCTAAATCTTTATTTTATTTAGTCCCCACCTAAAAGACAGAGAAGCACTTTTAAAGAGGTGGAAAGGAGTTGGAGGATTAGCTTTGATCTGGGGTCCCCAAATCTAAGTGCCTGTATGCCCCAAACATCTTTCTTGGCTTTCAACACGGAGGCTTCCTCCCCCTTAACATTTTTACTCCTTTGGCTTCAGACAAATAAGTGTTTTGTAGCTAGATATCTTGGCAGCTATTTTGTGAGAAAAAATGCTGCTAATTTCCAAATATGTTTTCCCTCCTTCTCCCCATCGGGGATTAATAGTTTGGATCATACAATTTATATTATTGTATAATATGCAAATATTTTTATTACATTCCTCCCACCCCACCCCCACCCCCACCTGCCTTATGTCTATTTGAGACCATGCCTCTTTCTAGAAGTAGAAACTCCTTAAAGAACAATACACATTCTTAGCTGAGCTGAGCAGAGCCTCAACCTTTTGGGTAAGTGCATGCCTTCAAGAAGCATGCTTTCAAGAAGTACTTGCCTGCAACAAACGTACAGACATTTTCCTGTTGCTGCTTTCACTACCACTGACCATAAGTGAATGAAAAATTTAAATATTTTGGCATAAGGTATTAGTCTTTTTAGATAATTAGAAGCATTGGAGGAAGCAAATAACAAAGTGGTTTTTCTGTATGGAAAGTGAGCCATTTACAAACATAGCCATGCTATTTTGATCTTGCATTTTATCTATTTATTTATTTATTTGTTTTTATCTTGGTAAATCAATGGTGTCTTACAAGCTCTATTCTCTTTCCTGTTTGTTAGGTCTGCCTAACCATGGACAAAACAGACAAATGGTAAGAGAATTTCATTTCAAAAAAAAAGTAAACACCACCATCCCAAGATTTCAGCAGTAGATACAGTGGGGCAAAAAAGTATTTAGTCAGCCACCAATTGTGCAAGTTCTCCCACTTAAAAAGATGAGAGAGGCCTGTAATTTTCATCATAGGTATACCTGTAACTACTTCTTTAAGAGGCTCCTCTGTCCTCCACTCGTTACCTGTAGTAATGGCACCTGTTTGACCTTGTTATCAGTATAAAAGACACCTGTCCACAACCTCAAGAGGTATACCTATGATGAAAATTACAGGCCTCTCTCATCTTTTTAAGTGGGAGAACTTGCACAATTGGTGGCTGACTAAATACTTTTTTGCCCCACTGTATCTGTAACTACTTCTTTAAGAGGCTCCTCTGTCCTCCACTCGTTACCTGTAGTAATGGCACCTGTTTGACCTTGTTATCAGTATAAAAGACACCTGTCCACAACCTCAAGAGGTATACCTATGATGAAAATTACAGGCCTCTCTCATCTGTCGTGTTTGGAGGAGAGAGAATGCTGAGTTGCATCCAAAGAACACCATACCTACTGTGAAGCATGGGGGTGGAAACATCATGCTTTGGGGCTGTTTTTCTGCAAAGGGACCAGGACAACTGATCCGTGTAAAGGAAAGAATGAATGCAGCCACGTATCGTGAGATTTTGAGTGAACACCTCCTTCCATCAGCAAGGGCATTGAAGATGAAACGTGGCTGGGTCTTGCAGCATGACAATGTTCCCAACCGCACCGCCCCGGCAACGAAGGAGTAGCTTCGTAAGAAGCATTTCAAGGTCCTGGAGGGGCCTAGCCAGTCTCCAGATCTCAACCCCATTGGAAAACCTTTGGAGGGAGTTGAAAGT